TGCTGCTGCTGCTGCTGCTACTGAGAATGATTGTACGAAAAGCAACATTCCCATTACGGTCTGCTGGACCCAGCTTCGACTCAAGACGTACGGGTTGGAGTTCAGTGTGAACTCAGGTTACAACAGCGCTCACTGTAGACTTTCAACGTTCGCAGCCCTGACATCTCTGTGGTCACGGAGGGGAGCACGCATGATGGCACCGATTGTGCATCTTCAGTCTAGTATGCTGTGACTATTAGTAAGGAGGGGTTCTTGATCTGAGAGCTGAGCGCTAAGGCTGCTAAGGGCAATTGAAACTATTGGGTTGGAGACTGCACGAGGGCTTATGGGCTGAGGTGGGGGTTGAGGCTGGTTTCAGGTCTTGGTTCGAGCAGCAGCAGTTATGGCCTGGCAGTAAATGACGGTACAAGAAGATGGCTCCGATTACATTGGAACTCATCGCCAAGTAGTCGAGCTCAATAACCAAGCGCCAGCATTCCTGAGGCACATCTCAAGGTTATTTGAGTGGGGATACGTGTCTTCAACGCCGTACGTCGGCGTTGGAGTACCTGCAACTTTTGCATTTGTTGAATTAGGAACTCATTTCGGTTGTGCAAAGGCTTATTAGGGATGAAAATTTGACAGTTGAAGGATCTGAGAAGACATAGCTGTGTGGGTCTGTTCGTGTCGATTGTTGGGAAGTTCGCGCGTACTTCAAGTCTTCAATCCTGGTACAGCTGCCGCCGGATGGGTCAGGCTTAAGGCCTTCGGCTTTCAGGGCGCAGACTTAGGGGCTTAAAGTGGGCTCGGGATGTGGATGTGGAGCTGGGCTTCTGGAATTGCTGTTGTTCGGGTGCAGAGCGTCCGCACTAGGTGCAGCAAAGAGTCAGGCATCACCATGAGGGCCACAAAGCAGCAGACAAAAGACGATAGACAAATGGCGATCATGTACGGTGCACACCGCTGGAGGACCAAAGCCTGGCAGGATAGCAGTGGTCGTCGCAACAGCAACATCAGTAGCAGAGCAGCAGAGTAGCAGAAGAGCTCTGGCAGTCGCAGTGGAACTCGCAGTAGCAGTAAGAGAGGAGTACGATGAGGAGGAGTGCGAGGAAGACTTTGAGGAGGAGAAGAACGAGCAGGAGCAGGAGAAGGCATCATTACAGTAGTAATAGTGGTAGTAGTACTAGTAGTACTAGTAGTTACTAGTAGAAGTAGTAGTAGTAGTAGTAGTAGTAGTAGTAGTGGTAGTAGTAGTAGTAGTAGTAGTAGTAGTAGTAACAGCAGCAGAAGTAGTAGTGTAGTAGTAGCAGTAGCATTAGTAGT